GAAGCTTAATCAGAATAGTTCAAAATTAGAAACAACACAGCAGTTGTTTCAACACAACAGAATGAATGGTTAAATAAATTGTGATGGACACACACCATGGAATACTCGTCAGCAATAAAAAGGAATGAACCACTGATAAATGCAGCAACCTTGATGAATCTTCAAAGAATTATGCAAAGTGAAAAAAGTCAATCTCAAAAGATTACATACTGTGTGATTTCATTTTATAGCTTTATTGAAATGATAAAATTATAGAAATGAAGAACATTATAGTGGCTGCCAGGATTTAAGGAGGGATTAGGGGAGGGAAGGAAGTAGGCATGGCGATAAAGTACAACATGAAGGATACTTGTGGTTATGAAAATGTTCACTGTCTTGACTGTATCAACATCAATATCCCCATCATGATAATGTACTATAGTTTTGCAAGATGTTACCATTGGGTAAAAGTGGGTAAAGCATACACAATTATCTCTCTGTATTATTTCTCACAACTGCATAAGACTCTATAATGATTTCAAAAATAAAAGGCTTAGAAGGAACTGTGGGCCACAGTCCCTTCCTCCTGGAAGCAGGCAAGAGAGCACACCCAGGGTTCCAGTCAAGGAGCCAAGGGCCACAGCCTCTTCCAGCTGGAGGCAGGCAAGAGAGCACAGCTGGGGTCCTAGGCAAGGAAACAAGGGCAGTACCCTCCAGCCAAAAGTGGGCAAGAGACCAACCACAGCCACCATCATAGCCACAGCTGCCGAAAAAGTGACTCAATGTCACAGCAATAGCCACAGCCACCATGCAGGTGCCCTGCCAGACACTCAACTGCACTGACACAAGGAGAGTCACCAGCAGATACCGGAAAAAGAAGAGGACATTTCTCTCTTCAAAGCCCACTCCAGAGTAATAGAAGCTTCTGCTCTGCCAGATGACCATACATCAACAGAGAGATACTAGAAATATGGAAACTCAAGAAAATATGACACCACCAAAANTACCACAGTTTCCTTATCCACTCATCTGATGATGGACATTTGGGCTGGTCCCAGCTCTTGGCTATTGTATATAGAACTGCAATAAACATTGAAGTACAGGTATCCCTTC